AAAAATTGGGAATCATCAAGCTATGGTCAAGCTATGGATACATAAGGAAATGAATTAAGAGCAGATAAATTAGAATCAATTTATCAAAGAATCTGCCGTAATAGGAAGTGGCCCGGGTCTCCACCTTCCTCAACAATTCTCCCACTTGGAGACTGGGACACTAACTGCACCATCCATTGGCTGCACTGCCCTTTTCCTCAAACATGATATCCTCCACCTCTGCAACTCAAAACCCCTGTCTTCAAGCTAGAAGACAAACTGAAGTCGAACACAACTTTAGTTTCTCAAGTGTGATGCCCTTGGTCAACATATCAGCAGAATTATTGCTTCCATAAATTTTTTTAAGTAGTAACTGTCCGTCATCTAACAATGATCGAATAAAGTGATACCTGATCTGAATGTGTTTGGTCCTGGAGTGAAATACTGGATTTCTAGCTAGGAATATGGCGCTCTGGCTATCACTGTAGAGAGTGCCTTTCTGAACCTCCTTACCCAATTCCGCCAAGAAATTCTACAGCCATATCATCTTCTTAGCAGCCTCTGATACTGCAACATACTCAGCCTCTGTAGTGGACAAAGAAACTGTCTTCTGTAGATTAGAGCCCCATGACACTGCAGTACCGCCAAGAGTATAAACATAACCTGTAGTACTCTTTCTACTGTCAATGTCTCCAGCTAAATCTGCATCAACATAACCATGTACCTCTAAGCTCTTTTCTGAGAAACACAAACAGGTTTCTGAAGAGCCTTTTAGATATCTCAAAATCCACTTCACAGCTTCCCAATGTTCCTTCCCTGGATTACTCATGTATCTGCTCACAACTCCCACTGCATGGGCAATATCCGGTCTGGTATAGACCATAGCATACATATGTGAACCAATAGCTGAAGCGTAAGGAACCTTACTCATGTAATCTTGTTCCTCCTCTGACTTGGGTGATTGATTTTTGTTGAGTCTGAAGTGACTGCCTAAGGTGTGCCAACTGGCTTGGCCTTGTTCATATTGAACCTGCTAAGCACCTTTTTCACATATTCAGCTTGTGAAAGTCTCAAAGTGTCTTTGACTCGATCTCTAACAATCATCATGCCAAAGATTTGTTTTGCTGCTCCCTCCCAAATCCTTCATTGCAAAGTGCTCTGACATCTGCTTCTTCAGATTATTGATCTCATAAATGTTGGCCCCTCCAATAACAAT